GAAATGCAAATCAAAACCACAATGAAATATCATTTAATTCCAGTGAGATTGGCTTTTATCAAAAAGTACCAAAACAACAAATGCTGGTGTGGATGCAGAGAGATAGGGGCACTCATACTCTACTGGGGGAACTGCAAACTAGTACAACTTTTGTGGAAATTAATGTGGAGATACCTCAAAAAGCTAAAAGTAGAACAATCATTTGATCCAGCAATCCCATTATGGAGCATCTACCCACAGGAAAAAAAAAAAGCCTATAAAAAAGACATGTGCACTAGAATGTTTATAGCAGCATAATTCACAACTGCAAAGATGTGGAAACAACCCAAGTGCCCATCAATATATGAGTAGATTAAGGATGAATAAAATGTGGTATATGTATACCATGGAGTTCTACTCAGCCATAAAAAACAATGGTGATCTAACACTTCTTGTATTATCCTGGATAGAGCTGGAATCCATTCTACTAAGTAAAGTATCATAAGAATGGAAAAATAAGCACTATATGTACTCACCATCAAATTGGTGTTAACTGATCAACACTTATGTGCACATTTAGTAGCAACATTCATCAGGTGTCTGGAAGATGGGAGAAGGGTATAGTCACAACTAATGGGTGCAGTACACACCATCTGGGGGATGGACACACTTAAAGCTCTGACTTGGGTGGGGCAAAGGCAATATATGTAACCTAAACATTTGTACCCTTGTAATATGCTGCAATAAAAAAAAAATAAAAAGTAACTTTACGTGATAGGATGTTGGGAGGATTAAATGAGTTACTCCATGTTATATGCCTAAAACAATGCTTGGCAGCTAGTAAAGCTCTTTATTATTTTTATCTCTTATTAATATTTATTATTGATATATTATAGAATTAATTTATTATTTCAAATAATTTCCTTAGTTTTGATAATTTTACCTTTTATATGACTCACTTTCATAATTATGTTACTGTCTTTTGTACAGTTAGTCTTAATAAATCCCTCCATCTTTTTGTTATGCCATTATCATGTTTTTAGATTTCTGTCATTATGATTTCTAGAGATGCCTGTCTCTCAGAAATTATTCTAAAGTTTTAAAAACAAAAGAGCTTTTGATGGACTTTATTTTAGAAAAGCATATACTGTGTTATTATGGACTCTAGGTGTTAATTTTATTTCCTTTCTATGCTATCAATTAAGTTTTCTTAAATTCTTTATTAAGAATAAATACACTTCACACAAACCCCTCAAGTTGCTTTGTTTACATGCTTTTCTCATGTTTTCCTTGGCCATGTGCAGTTTTGATTTTTCTCAGCACCTTAAGTGTGAAGTATGGATAGCAAATGCCCAGAGTCTTATTACCTAGGTTAAAAGGCCTTGGCAGGCATGGACACTTGTAGAAGCCATAAAACAGTCATACTGCAAGCTTCACCATATTACTATGCAATAGTCCCTTAGCAGTCAACACAATTTAAGAGGCATATGGGCAACACAAACATCATCTTTCTCTGCAGGTTTAAAAACAACCACATTTTTAGAAAATATTTGAAAAAAAGGGTAGGAATTAGGAACTAAGATTATTTATCCCAACGACAACATTTATTTATCCCTTTCACAAGATTACTGTGAAAAGCTTCAAGTTTACGAGCAGTTATTATGTAGAAAATAAGGTCCAGCTGTTCTCTATCTCTAAAAAAATCCCAATGAGAGGGCTCAACCTCAGCATGAAGTAATTAGGTTGGGTATGAAGAAGAATTTTCTGATGGTGAGAATAACACACTGAAAGGAATTTCTTATAGAAATACCTTAAAATCTGAAAGAACTCCACAACCAAAATGATGATTCTCTTGGCACATTCTTCTTATTTGAAATCTATACAACTCTTGTGCTTTTATGAAATGTGATATAACATATCTACATTTCTCATTATGCATTTCAAATACCATTGCATGTTTACAGTGGTGTGCTTTGCATCTATTTTCTACATATGGTATGTACTTTGTACTTTGGTTTCTCACATGGTTCTAGCAATGCAGTCTGGGAAGACTATAGGCTTTGAAATCAACCGTACCTGGGCAGGCTTCCTAGCTTTGTTATTTGGATTCTGAGACCTACTATTTGTTTATTCTCTCTGAGACTTGGTCTTCTACAAAAGACAGTAATTAAGAAATGAACCAGTTAATGTATTAATATTTCTGTCACAAACACAATGCTAGTACATAGTAGTTAATATATATTAGCCAAAAATGTTTTTAAAAAATTATACATATAAACATACACTTGCATTAAGTAAGAATACTTTGAAAAATAAAAGGCTCCAACATATGGGAAACAAAACTCCCTGAACAGATTCATAAGTACATAATATCTTATATAAAAACCTTTATTCTACAAAAAGTTTCATTGTATTATTCATTTTAAAAGCAAAATACCACCTGAAAATTTAAAAAATTCTCTTAAAAATGTTTTCATTAAAGAGAAAACAAAAATTAAAATAGAGAAAATATCATGTATTAAAGCATTACATGTCAGAACTCATGGGATATAGCTAACATTGTGTTGAAAGGAAAATATATAACTTTAAACATTTTCACAGATAAACAAGACAAAATAAGAGTAAATAAATTAAGCATCAAATTTTAAAGATTAGACAAAGAACAAGAAAGCAAACCTAAGAAAAATTGAAGGAAAGAATAAATAAAAATATCTAGGCAACGGATACATTTACAACTTTGATTTAAGCAGTCGAAAAGCAATGTATGGAACCAAAACATCTGTACCCCTATAATATTGTGAAGTAAAAACAATGAAGAAAAAAAAAAGAAACATGGCAATTTTCCCTAAATTTTAATTATCTACAAACTACCCTCACGATTTTGCCATATCTTCATACTTCCTGTATTGTTGTTTGCTTAATACATGTTTTTGAACAGAGTCACTTTAAAAAACCTTATGTGTATTTAGGTAGGGAACCTAATTTATTACAGTAAATAGAAAACCAGAATAATTTGTCATAAATACGAAGTACCTGTAAAAATACATTCAATAAAAAAGCAAAAATTAATGACATGTAAACAGAAAAAGCATAAACTAAAAAATAAATTCAAGAGCTGTTCTTTGTAAAACTAGTTTACACAAAATAAGAAATGAGAATAAGGAAACGACCAAAGATACAGAGGAAACGGAAATAATTGACTCTCATTCAACTCAACTGAGGTGAAATGGAATAATTTTTAGAAAAAGGTAAATTGGCAAAACCATCTCAGAGGAGGAAGGCCATTTAGTACACTCAGAGACCACCAATTATAAAAAAGATAGACATAAGTTGTTAAAAGCACTAATGCCTCCCTAATGAAATCACTTTTTTATCAGTACAAGCTGACACCACCGTAAATACAGAGGGAAAATGAAGTATGGAAATTGGAAAGGAGGAGGTAAAATTATTGTTTGTAGATAATGAGTGCATATGTCAAAACCCAAGAAAATCAGTTGAAAAATTCCTACTGACCAAAAGCAAATTTTGTAGTTGTCTGTATACAAAACTTATATTGAAAAGTATAATGAGAAAAACATATTTATAATAACCACAAAAAATATGCTTAAAAGGGAATAATCTTGACAAGAAATGTACAAGAGTTTTGTGAAGAAAGTTCTAGCACATGACTGAGGGACATGCAGTAAGGCTTGACTAAATGGAAAGGCATCTCTTGTTCTTGGAAGGGTAAACTGAATATTACAACATTTCACTTATCCCTAAATTAATCTCTATACTTAATGTAAGTCAATTAAAAATAACAACAGGCGCCTTCTTCTTTTTTTATTTTGGAATTAAATAAATGATGTGAAAATTCAAGAGGAAAATTAAACATGCCAGAATAGCCAAAATAATTCTGAAAATAAGAGTAATGAAGGGAACAAAGAATGCAGATTTTAAAACATATTATAAAGCTGGGATATTTAAAACACATTGTTACTAGGGTGTGAAAAGACAGATCATTGGTTAAAAGCCAGCAAATCAAAGAAATAGATTCAGTTTTATATCTTCATAGGAGTTTGGGTTAGAAAGGTATATGCATTTGTAAAAACTCAGTGAATGTACAATTAAGATTTGTATATTTCATTGTATGTGAAGTTTCTCCCAAAAGAAAACTCCATGAAAAATTATTGGACTCTAATGATATGTATACTAAAGTATTTGGAAGGAAGTGTGCTGATATCTGTAATCTATTTCGAGCCAAATCAGAAAATCAAAAAATTAAAAAAAAATAAGATTACTAGAGGGTTGCATATATGAAAAATTATGTAATTACATAAAATTATCTTAATATTGCTGTGTGTTTGAAAATTTCATAATAAAATGTTAGAAAAATAGATTCAAATACATCACAGAGAAATTTAGTATACAATAAAGATAAAAGTGCAAATCTTTAAGTTCTAACTCTAGTTATAGAGTGAAAGATTTTGTCACGTATTATAACAGTTGCAGAAGGGTTGGGTATAGAGGACAGAGTTGCCCCTGGAGTGGCTCTTAGATTTTGTGGTGTCTCCTGGTCTTCTGATCTGTGAGGCTGTGTGGTAAGACTTGTGCCCCTTCTCTGGTGAGCCCTATCCTGGGCTACTGCTCTCCTACCAGCTACAAGGAGAGGACAGGTCCTGGGGACTGCACACATGTTCAAAGGGTGGAGAACAATGCAGTCCTTGTACTTAAGCACAGGTTGTGCAAGTGGTTCTGTTCTTCAGGCATGGTGATTATTCACACCTTTGAGGTTTTTGTTAAGTTGGTCTTTTATAGCTAACAACTTTAGGATTTAAACAGTTTATTCAGGAGTTCTGAGTAGTTCATAAAGTACTATTATTTAGCTATTTGTCTTGTGTGTTTTTCTGTTACTCAATCCTATATTTACATTTCTTAAAGATTGCACAGAATGGGCGTTGGATAGGAGTGGCATTCTCCTGTTCTGTATACAGAGTTTCAAAACATTGGGGATCACGGCGGGGGGTGGGGGGGGGCTCAACCTAAGCTCCCAGCAGTAATAGCTTTGTCACCACATGGAGAGAATTAGCCAGGCTTCCTCAGCCTTTCAGATGTACTTAGACTCTAACAGGTAAATTTGGGGCTTCTTTTATTTGGGGTGTGGGGTGGGAAAGGGCATATATATTTTGGTGGCAAAAGAGACATACTAGGAATTCAAATATACAAGGATTCTCTAGTTTTGAGAGCTCTCAAGGAGGGGCACATATTAAAGGAGACAGTTTACAGAATATGTTTACAACTGAATTTATTTCTGCAGCACATTTTTCACTGAACATGTCATCTCTGATGTCATCCTTTTACATCTTGAAAAATTTGCCATTTTAAACATGGAAATGCTAATGAATAGTTTCTGAGAAGAATCTTCCTTGTCTTTTGCTTTAAATTTACTTAATTGACAGTATTGTGAGCTTTTTAAACCTTATGCCTGCCCAAGTCCTGCTGGAAACAAGCAATGGAAAGTTTCCAGTGACGAAGGTCACCTAGCCCTGCCACTTACATGTAGCTGCCACTGAACATTATTTCCATGAGGTATGAGGTATATAATTAGCAGAGGGTCAGCAAATAAGAGTTTAGAGAATGTGATTATAGAAGCAAAGAAGTCATTTCAGTCAAGTTTGTAAAATCCAGTGCATGTGGGCGTTTAGGAAAGGGGCCAAAGATGACCAATGATAAACTGGACCACATCCCTGATTGCAGCTGCCTTCGTATCCTCTTTAGAAACTCACAGCCAAAGCTTACGGCCTCAGGTACACTTATTTAACCACGGGTTCTGTACTAGGTGCCTTACATACCTTGTCTCTTAATTCTCACAACAACCCTATAAAGTAGGTCTTTCTGTTGCCATTTCATGGATAAAGAAACTGAGGCAAAGAGAGTTAAGTCATGTTAAAGTATAATTTTCAAAAGTATGAAATCATAACTCTCAGGCAAATGTAAAATGGACATGTGTCAAATATTTCACTGAACTCATTAATTAATGAGAGAACCAATGAGATGTTATGAACAGCTCAAAGAGTACTTGAGAAGCTGTGATAGTTATCAGCAATTAAGATAAGATTGCTGAACTAGATATAAAACTGGCTAAGTGCAGCAAGCCATCAATATTTAGGATTGTCTATTTCCTTGGATGGAAATTATTTTCATTTCTACTGGACAGAAATCTACAAATTAACAAGTAAATTCTCTAAGTATGGGGCCTTTAATCAATAGTAAAAATGAGGTGAATTAAGTACAGATCTATATAAGCCTTGAGAGCCTTTGTACCCATATGATATTGAAAGAATTTGTCTTATTTTTTGGCCTTGTTTTCAAGTTTGGAGAATTTTTCTGACAGCAATCTAGCCCCAAGTTCCACCAATATTAGCTAGTGGAGCAGAGATTTGAATCCCAGTCACTGCAACTCCACAGTCCTGTATGCAGTCCTTCATTAGAACTCAGCAGTGACTTAGTTTGTCTTTTATTTTTAAAGAATGTTGTAATCTATTAGGTTTATGCAGATAATTCTCTTTCACAGTCAAGACATCTCTGAGGCACAAGGATTCTCTGGATGGAAAAATTATCCAACTCAGTCAATAAATATCTATCTGAAGTAGTAACACTTTTTGTTTCTGCTTTAGAGGAGATTGCTGACACCACAGACTCCAAGAACATGAATTCTGCATTAAAAGTGACACTGAAACAGCACTTCATTTTTACCTCTGTCTTTATCTATATTGAAACCTTAGAGAAATAGAAAGATTTAGGCTGAAAGCATATTCTATTAACTGCTTTGCAAGATAGGAATATTGGCAGCAATGGCTTATGATAATCAAGATATCATGTTAAGTATTATTATATGTTGTACTATATAAAATTATGACATCAAAATATTATTTTTTGCAAGTTGTAATAAGTTTAGGGAATATCTCTTGGAATAAGAAATAGATGCTTGCATTTGGACATCCATCTGTTGAATGTTTTCAACTTTTATGCCTTAAAGTAGGCTAATAAAAGGGGTCTTCAAACTGGGCTCCAGAAAGAGATCTCATACATAACCCCTGAACACATCATGTCACGTATCACATGTAATCATTGAACATGTCATGTCACCATGATGTTATGAATACCAAGGAAGCAGCATGGTGGTGGGAGGTTGGGAATTGGGAGACAGTCTCTGAAGATAGGAAAGTCACCTCACTTTTGTTTGTTTTAGTTTGCTCTTTCCCGTATGTGTGGTTGGATTAAAGGGGAAATTTCCAAACTTTTTGGCACCACGATTACAAAATATGATGAACATAAAAGGAAATGCTATGGTTAAAGAAAATGAGGGAAAAGGGATACGGAAGGCCCAGCTTTCTTTCTATCCCACCTCCTCCTTCCATTGTGAAAGGAATCAAGGCTGACTACAAAATTTGCAGGGCCTAGAGAAAAACAATTTGCAGGGCCCTTTGTTAAAAAAAGAACAGCAAAAAGACATTAAATATACCAAGACACAAAGCTTTTTAATTTTATGTAGTACAATATATAATGATACTTAGTAATATGATATCATCATAAGACTTTTTTCCTGGCTCACTTTTTTGCAAATTCATTCACAGGTATTAGGTCATGAACATTTATATTTTTAGCAACTTCATTTTCAATCTACACAGTTGAAAACAGCATTAATTGCTCTTCACAAATGCAAGATCACAAATAATTTTTATAATTTTAGTTTTAAGAAGATCCTTCTGCTAATGCAACTGTTACTGGAGCTATTAAGAGCACTTTATAAGCTGTGACAATGTTGGAATGCATTGTTGATAAATTATATCAAAATATAAATTTTAGTACATCTAGAGTTGACTGCTCTTGTTTTCTCTAGGAAAAGATTTAGCTGTCCATACAAATCAGTTTTGAGTAAGTCTGAATTTAACTTTAAAAGTAAATTTATACAATGGCATTTCAATATTTCCTCTGACATTTTCCATAACTTGTGAAGGTTGTACAAGAAACTTCCTAATTTGAATATATTTCAAAACAACTGTTATGCATTCTATGCTGATCTTCAATTACAAGGAAAAATTAATTTTAAAATTGTTTGCCTCATTAATATTTAGTTTATCCAATGCTTCATATGATAGCAGTGTTATTTTCCATCAAACATGACAATCTTGAAATTTAATTTCTATTTCTAAGCCTGTGGATATATTTGTCTTGCAAGGTTGAGCAGTTTTTAAAACTGAAGATTCCATAATTTATTGCTGAAATTTGTCACCTATGCATGAGCAGTTCCTGTTCTGGCTTCCCTGCTGCCACTGCTGCTGCTACTGCTGCCATCACTGCCACCATTCTGTGCCCAGGTCCCAGCCCGGCTTTACTCGCCTGCATCCCTTTAGCTCTGGGCTATCTCAGGCACTGGCATTTACGTGGGGCCAAGTGCTTTGTGTATGCTGTTTTCTGAGCCTGAGGCCTGAGCCTACACATGTGTAGGTTGCTGCTGGACCACTATAGCACAAACTCACTGCCTCCCGAGAATATCGCCTCTGTTCATGTGTGTGCTCCATTGTCCTAATAAACTTAACTTACAAAACACAAGTTCAAAGATAAAATTATGATTATTATTATCATTTTTCAGACAGAGTTTCGCCGTGTCACTCCAGGTAGAGTGCAGTGGCATCATTGTAGCTCACTGCAACCTCCAGCTCCTGAGCTCAAGTGATCCTCTTGCCTCAGCCTCCCAAGTAGCTGGGACTATAGGCATGAACCACCAAACGGGGCTAATTAATTTATTTTTTATAGAGACAGAGTCTCGCTCTTGCTCAGGCTGGTATGAACTCCTGAGCTCACCTTGGCCTCCTAGAATGCTAGGATTACAGGGGTGAGCCGCGGCACCCAACCCTCAAAGCTAAAATTAGTAAGAATTTCAAGACACCAACAGCAGAGCTTTAAAACAAGCATGGGACTCTTCCCAGCATGGGTACCTAAATGACTGTACAAATTTCATGCCCATGAAGCTGGCCCTGGAAGGACCTCCCAGGGGTATGTGTTTGCACATGACTTAGTACTTTAACTCATCAGGTCGCTCTCCTCTTCATCTTCCATTGTCAAGAAAGCTTTGTTCTGATGCATTTATTGAGAAACTAATATTTAATGATGGATAGATGAGGATAAACCTGCAAGACCAAGAATGAACAATCAAAAATAGAAAGAAAGAATCAGAAGACTTGGATGCCACGGAAGCCAAGAAAAGAGAGAATTTCAAGGAGAAAGTAACCAAGGAATCAAGCAATGCCAAGAGGTCAAGTAAATTTAGGACTGAAAAATTTCCATCGACTTTAGCAACACAGAAGTCACAGGATCTAAGATCTTAATGATCTTGGAAAAAGGTAGTTTCAATGGAGAAATGCAGGCTGAAATCATCAGAAGCAGGTTAAGAAATGAGTGAGAGTTGAAAAATGGACTCCCAGAGTCCCCCTACACCCTGGCCTGAGGATTAGTAGATATTAATATGGCCCCCTAAGACGACCCTTGGAGTGACCATGGGTACATACACAGGGACGTCTGCCTCTGTATAGATGTTGCTTCTCCTTCCTCGTTATCCCTGCTGATCATGGATGAACAGTTTTAGCTCTTACATTTAGGCATTGCATTTTGAATTAAGTTCTGTATATGATACGAGGTAAAAGTCCACCTTCATTCTTTTGCACATGGATGTCCAATTATCCCAACATCGTTTATTGAAAGAACTATTCTTTTCTAATTATATTGTCTTGACATCCCTGGTGAAAATCAATTGACCATAAGTGTATGAGTTTATTTCTGGAGTCTCAATTTTACCTCATTGGTCTTTGTGTCTGTGCTTTTACCACACATTCTTGATTCCTGTAGCCTTTGTAGTATACGTTTTGAAACCAGGAAATATGAGTTCTCCAACTTTGTTTTTCTTCCTCAAGATTGTTTTGAGTATTCTGGGTCCTTTGCAAGTTTATATAAATTTTTAAATTTGATTTTCCATTTATGATATTCCATTTATTGATATTTTGATAGAAATACATTGAGTCTATAGATTGCTTTTAGTAGTATTTCCACCTTAATAATATTAAGTGTTCC